GGATCGAATCCCCGACCAGGGATCAGAAAGAATGACCAGGGAATAAAAGTAGAAGAGCCCCTAGTCATGAGGGTCTTAATCCCCGACCGGGGATCTGAAGGAGGACGACCGAGGATCGGGCACTAACGAGAATAAATTGCCTTTCGTATTTAGGATTATTTTCCTTTTCGGGTTTTTTTATTAGTTTTTATTTTTTTGGTTTATGTAAAGGCTTAAACTCGAGTTTTGTGGGAGACATTGAAGACTTTTGATTATTATTGAGTTTATTCTTGGTTCATTGAGCTTTTAGCTTCTGAATTGTGCTTTGTATCAAACGAGTATTCCCCTTGATTGTGGTCGAGCTTCTATCCTATATTGATAGAGCCTTCTCCCAAGTGTGAGATTGTACTTCAGTTCTGTTTTATCCTTAATCCTAACCCTTGTTCTTGGTTGTGTGACTTTGATAACTACGCCACTAGTTTTGTGCTCGTATCATAAGAATATCTTTCCATGCCCCACACTCATGATTCAAGTCTCTTTCAAAATCTCTCTTGGGAAAAAAGAATTTTAGGAATGGACTTGGGTACCTTAGGTGTAGTTGCATCTTCTTCGATCTTCTTGTATTCCACAATAGCTTTACTAGCATCATCCTTCTTCCCATTGACTCTTGAACAAGTTCTTGAACTCTTGGAGCTTCCAAAATAGGAATCATGTCCCTTGGTATAGATGTAGATACTCTTTTCTAGCAAACACTCCTCAAGGTAACTGCGTAATGACCATTTGGATTTGGCTTCGTGTTTCTCTGTAAGTCTCCTTAAGGCCCAACCACAAGACCTTGTGTGATAGTGCTCACTTGAGACTCCAAAATATTTTGCAAAGCTTGTTTATTCCTTTGTCCATCATTATAGTAGAGAACTTGCTACTAGCATTTTCTATGAACTTATCTATTGAATCAAATCTCATAGAAGCCGTAGAAGTAAATTGTCCCATCATATCCTCTAACCTCTTCACTCAACCATCGGAAGGTCTTCCTTGCTCTAAGTAGGGTACATGACTAGGAGGTTGAGACGACTATTGAGACGACCTCTTATAGCGTGTTTGATTGGAAGAGTTCCCTTCAAAACCACGAGATTTCCTATCAGCTGAGGAGTACCATAGGAAATTAGGATAATACCTCCACCAGTTTGTAGGTTGAGTTATAAGGGATAACCCCCCCCCCCCCCCCTCTTGGTTGGCCTCCGATGAAGTTTTTATGTTCATGGTTCACTAAAGATCCATCATGGCCTGACAATCTTCAAAGTTGTGGGACTTTTCTCCACACCAGTCACACTTTATAACTTGTTTGAGGTTTCCTTACAATACTGACGAGAAAATATTATTTTCTTGGTAAGCTCCTAAATTTGTACTGACAATTACATTGGTTAATCAAGATGAAGCAGTCCTCGGTCGAGCGCCTTTCCTTGTCTTTCATCTCCCCAATCGTAGTTGTTGAGTGTCATTTCCACAATGAGTTGATGCATTTCCTTGACGTCGTTATTCCTTTTAGCTCCACCACTTGCTATATCGATGAGGTGCCAAGACTTTTTAGTCAACCGTTGTAGTAGGTCTCGACCTGCAACCAATTGTGAGCACTTGAGAAGTAAGGAAGTGAGTCGTTCCCATGCTTCAAACAATGGTTCTTCTTCTTCTTGAAATGAAGTAATTTCATTTCTCATGCTATTCGTCTTCGATGGATGAATATATATTGCAAAGAATTTATCACATAGTTCGGTCCATGAGATAACAGAGTGATGAGGGTGATTGTTGAGCAACGAGTTTGCTACCCTATTGAAGGAAAAAAGAAAGAGTCTTAGTAAAATCATTGCACGAGGTACTCTATTGATCTGGATTCCAATGGTGAGCTCATAGAAAGTTTACATGGACATTTGCATCTTCATTTTTTCAGCCTATGAAAATGGACTAAGTTTCAAATCATTGATATTATCATAGTCTTCACGTTAAAAATTTTGTTTGTGATAGGTGGATGTAAGATTGGTGTATGCACATTCTCTACACTTGGACGAGTGTAGGATCCCATCGTTCGGGGTTGAGCGCTTGGTTGTTCTTATTGTTGTTGTTCCGCCATTGGATGGTTGATCTATTGTTATTGCCTTACTATTCTTCCGAGTGCTCAAATAGTCCACTCAATCTCAGTATTGAGAGGCAAGAGATTGTCCGGGTTCCGTCTTCGCATACAATAAAGCTAAAGACAGAAGCTCAAATATCAATGACATAAATAGTGGAATAACAAAACAAACTACAACTAACTATAAAGCAAGAAAAGTGAAGACTAGACTAACAACCTAACTCTATTTCAGCCAGTTACTAGTTGCTCCCGGGCAATGGTGCCAAAAACTTGGCTTGTCAAGTTCTATATAGACGTTCTTGTCTCGACTCTATCTGACCCGACTTAGGAAAGTATACCATAAGCAGGTGAAGTAGTAAATTGGTGACTCTCGAGTCGTACTCCACAAGCTCTGATAGCATAGATTACTCTTGCGAGGTTGGTTGTTATCTAATCAAATCTCTAAGTTGTTTGTTCGACACTAGGAAATATAAAACTACAAGAAAGCAATGAGAAAGAAACTATACTTGGGATATGCCTCCCTCGCCCAACTAAAAATCTCAACATACAATCATAAGGTTTATATAATATATATGGTAATCGTGGTGCAAAGGTCACTAATATGGGATAGATGAATGGTTATGACACCCGATCTCCCTTCTAGCTATATCCACTGCCCAATGTCACTTCGGCCAAAATTCCCCTAAAAGAATTCTACTTGTCAACATACAAATAAGGTAAGTCAATGGTCATGAACTTATCTAATAAGCATCAATTAGGTGAGCAGCTAACAAGGTGGGGATGATCATCTCTACATGATACTAAGCCTCTCAATCGTCTAATCATGGAAGAACACATGCAAAATATACACACATGAATCAACCTAGGGAAAACACATGTAACATACAATCCCATGCATCCAAACCATGAATCGAAGCATTAACAGCTCTAATTGAACACAATATAACATATATTATAAAATACACATCAATTAAATGTTTAACCCAATGTTATGGTTTGGGGGACTAAGACCCAAGTACCTCTAAGACTACCCCCATGAAGGGGGAAGGAGAATAACAAAAAGATAGAAGAAAACCATGATAAAAAACCTCCAATTGGCTAGGAAATCCTTCTTCAAGCCTCATTCTTCTCATCTTCTTCACTTGACAACCCAATTCTCTCTTCTTTCTTTCACCAGGATTTCCTATTTTCCAAGAATCACTTAAGCAACTGAGGTGCCTCCTATTTATAGAATTTTAGAAACGCAGAGATAATCACAGGCAACTCAAGGGAGTTCACGATCGCGATCTTGGAAAATAGGTCGTGATCTCGATATGGCATTGCCTTTTGCTTCTTTAGAGGAGTGATCAGTGGTTGGATTTTCACGACCGTGAGGTTGAAGTCACGACTGCGATCTCCCTCGTGGTCTGGGAAATGAAGGAGTGCCATGGCGATCGCGATTCCTTTTATGAATCCCTCGCTGTCTGTTGGCTCCTTGAGATTACGGCCTAAGAATATGATATCTCGGCCGAGATCTTGTGCGTAGGTGCAATCTATTCACAACGTGCGCACTTCGCGGTTGTATTCTGTTGTATTTGCATGCCATCTAGGATTTGGCCACTTTCTTTACACTTGAGCCCTTGATCTATGTCATAATCGTTCAAAACTCACGATGCCACATAATAAATCACAAACACAAAGCAAGGAAGCAATCTAGACTACAGCGAAGGCTCATACAACCTTGTAATGCTCAAAATTGCATGAAAATACCTAGTGTTAGAAAGATGAATAACACATAATTAGGTGTTATCAGTGTCTCTAAATTAATGGTGGCCGCAATGGGAAGAACTTCCTCGAAATCGAAGAAGTAAGCAAGCCTCTGTCACAGCACTATCCAGATTCAGTCGATTGAAGAAGCAGTCTATCGATTCCAAGCCAGAGAAATCGTGGTGGATTGTAGATGACTAGTATGTTGGGGAGGAAGACAAAGATGACGGTGGAGGAAGACCATTTGGGTTCAATTGAATCGAGGAACTGGGCAAATTTGTGGGAGAAGAGACTCAAAATTCCAAAAGTGAGATGGAGCTGGAGGAAGAAGAGACTGACAGTTGCAGCCAAAATTTTATCCTCTATTTGTGGTGATGTCGAGCTAGATTGGGGGTTTTCATAGTAAGAAAGGTGCAACTGGTTTCGATGGTGATGCTAATCGAAGGTTTCCACCCGAGTTGGCGGCGGGAGGCATGATCGGCGGTGAGAGAGGGTACGTGGAGGGGGTTTCATTTTTACTTTTTTTACTTTTTAAGTGAGTTGGAAAAAAACATAAAAACTGAAATTAAAAAATCCATGTCAAATGCCACGTCAATGCTAACTCGATTTTCAATTAAATACTAACGTTCAATGTCGGTCAACACTGACAGAATAATAGTTCAGGACAAAAATGTAATATCGGATATATCGGGACATAAGTTGCATTTTTTATAGTTCGGATTTTGTAGTGGTATTAACCATTTGATGAATTTAAAAGTTAAATGTTGACGTTATTCGTTGGATTCAAGTATAATATTTGGGTGTTGATGTTAAATATTTTATTTAAATATGAGTATTTGTTATTTTATTTGAAAAATTGAATTTTATTTAAATATGAATGCAGATTATACACAAGTTACTTTTAAATATATTTTATATATGCTTAAATTCATTTTATGTTGATGATTTTTCATATTTTTATATATTTTGTTAAACCGTTGATCAAACCATAGTAGTTGTATAAACTAACACAATGATATAAATCAGTTTACCAGCAGTCCAGCACGTTTAATATTAAGAAAAGGAGTGAGAGAAAAATTATGAGAAAAAAACAGATAAATTAATATTAAATATTAAAAATATTATATATCACTTTCTATCCATCTATCTGCCCTCTTGAAATCGAAACCCAGAGCCAATTCCCAAATCAAAAACCTAATCACAGCCGGCCATCTCTCTCACTCCCTTCCCCTCCCTCCCCTTTAGTTTCACTCTCACTTTCTTCTCTTCGGCTTCCCTTCCATGTCTCCTTCTTCTATACAATCATCGATACCCCTTGTTTGGTACCCGGCTATATTTCATTAATCTCCCAACCCTTGCTTTCCTTTCTCATCCAGCGATTCAGTTTTCTACATCTATATCCCCAACTCCCTTGTAACCCCGTAAAAAAAGATGAAGAGGAGCGGCTCCAGGAACAAGTTCCTGATGTGTTTCCGGCCGGTCGCCGAAATGGAAGATTGTGTTCTCGATGATGGGTTTGGTCTCCACAAGTCCAAATCAGCCGCCCTTCTCTCGATTGATCGGTCCAACAGTCAGGCCTTTCTGCTTTCCGCGGCGGGGAGCGACGAATTCACTGATTCGATGGGGAAGAAGGTGACTCTGGATCGCTCTGTTTCCGATTGCTCTGCCTTCGCCGGCGGCCGGCGCTCCGTCAGTTCCGAGGTGGAAGAGGTTGTTGTTCCGACTCCTCGTCAACATCATCATCGAAGGAAGAGCTTTTCCCGTGCGATCAAGGCTGTTCTATTCGAGCCCATATCGGTTAGTTTTCTTCTCAATAAGTCCCACCGAACTATTGGCTCCTCTTAATTTCTGTTCGCCTAACCTCTGTTTTTCTTTCCCCTCTCTGGTTATTTCAGTCAAAGCGAGGTAACGACCGGAAATCGATGAACCGGGTCGCCGACGAATCGAATCATGGCTCATCGTTGACCCGGATAGACTCCATGGATAAGGAGCAGTGCAACTCGATCCGAAAGGAATTCGAAGACAGTCTGGAACCCAAATCGTCTTCTTCTTCGTCATCGTCGTCATCATCTTCTTCGCTTGCATCTTCAACATCGCTTCCGAGTTTGAGTTCTGGATCGGACTCTGAAACCCCTACAAAATCTTCGTCGGTGGAGAAAAGGGTGAAAACCCGGAAACCCGAACAGAGCCCCGAACCCGACCCGAAACAATCGGGCAGCAGTTTGACCGTATGTTTACTGCTGCTGGTCAGCCTTGGGGTGACTGTATTAGGAGGCAAGTTCTTGGGCGTGGCGTTGACTCTAATTTGTCTGTATTCCTTCCCTCGCCGGCGGCAACACAAACTTGTCGTCGATCCACCGACGGGAGAGGCGAGAACGTCACGGCAGGAAAAACAGAGGGTGTCGAGAGAGTACAAAAAACAGAGGGTCGTGATGGAAGGGATGCTTAAAAGGAACCACCGTAGTTACCCTTGCCTGAACGGCCAAAATCAGAATCTACAGCTTCAGCAGAGTAAATAATGAAAGAACAAAAAAGGAAGAGGGGAACAATGGCGGGGCCAGAGCATTAAGAAGTGGATCTTGGCAGGGAACAGATTTCTGGTTTCGTGTCGTTAAAAATTTGAAATCTTTTCAAAGTAAAAGAAAAATCCAAGAGCCCTTGTGTATGGTTTCTTGGGGATTTGGGCGTGAATCTGCAAAATGATGCAGTGACACATTCTGTTCCTCCTTTTCTCTGGCAATGGCTTATTTTTTATTTAATTTTTTTACCTTGTAATGATTGGAAGGTTTGTAAAGGAGTACAAAGAAAAATCAATCATGGTGGAAACTATAGTGGGTTTCTGTTTTCTTCTTCTTTTCATTGTGTTCCAGTGGGGTTTCTTGAGGTATAAATTGTAAAAAAGTTGCAGCCTTTTGGCTCCAATTTATAAGGTATTTACTGAATGCTGCATAGTCGAGGAGTGTACAAGAGATGCCATTCTAGGGTTGAAAGCTTAGATGGTGAGACTATTGACTACATTGAATGAAATAAAATTGTTACACAATTTCAAAACGTGTCAATTTTCGTTTTGTGACAAACGTATCACTTGCGCATCAAATGTTTTGTGTTAAGTATGTTTCGTTAGCATGTTCATCTAAATTCATAACCAGTATTGAACAAACCCATTTCTCACTCGTGACAGCCAAACGTTGCCACCATTAGCCTAACCTTCTCTTTACTCAGTAATGCATTCACTGCTTTAGTCTGCATCGCGGTGAAGCCTTCATTGCAACTGCAATCTCGGTGATGCATTCACTGCTTTAGTCTGCAGCGGGAAATGCATTCATCGCGGTTGACGGCTGTGGTGATGCCTAAACATGTGTAGATTGTCAATTTTTCATAAAACATGTATATTTTGGGATTTTTTTTTTAACGTGTGTATTTTGAGAAAGTGAGAGGTAAGAGATTTGAGGAGATAAATTTGGTTTGAGAGAGAGTTTAAAGTCGGAATTTGGGTTTAACTAGCCATATGCCCATATCTGATGATGAGGCATGACTCGGTGAGGAAAATTTTAAGCGATCAACTTCATGTAATTTATAATTCCGAGCGATGATTTTGTTATAAGTGTAATGACCATTTATATTCCAACTTATGGTTTGAAGTTTTAACCCGGTCATGGTTTGATGTAGTTAATTTCTAGATTCTTTCATCGGAACCAATAATTTATATTTGACGAATTAAATTTCTAGTTTTCTTAACCCCTTAGTTGTGTTGCCTCGGCTGTAGTGGGTGGGAGAAAACAAGGAAGAAGACTGCCGTGTTAAGATGGTTGCTAAGTAATTGACAATCCAGACTTGAATTCAATGTGATTGACTGAATCCTATAGTAATAGGCTAATAGCACCACAACCACAAGAAACAATGAGACGAGCGCTTGCAAAGCAAAAGCAGCATTTAACCCAAAACTGACCAACCTTCACATTCCCCTTACAATGAGGACTAGTTGTATTTAATGAGATTGACTGGCCGACTGACTGTTTCTTGTGGTTGTGGTGCTACTACTACTATCGATTTCAGTCAATTACATTGAAATTGTTCAATCTGATTCATACCGTGTGTTAATTTTATTTTATATTTTGATAAAATTTAATTTTAAGATTCATTGTATCCTATTTTTTTGTAGAGAATTCATTGTTAGTAGTTCTCATTAAGCTCTCTTGATCAAACTGGTCAAGCGTCATGAAAAGACCAGACAATATCTACAAAGTGGCTAAAACATCACACTTATATCAAACTACTAAATACAACAGTTTTTCTTAACTCTATGCAAAAAACTGTGTTGCGCAAGGCGTATATACGCATATCTTCCTTCATTTGCAGAAACAATTCCTGCCAACTCAAAGATCGTCCTCCAAACATGATCATTTAGTCCATAAGCAATAAACCGTCCAACACTAAACGCAACTATAAACCAATCCATGTTTACCATTCAGTTTACTGTGATGATTAGCTTCCCTCAATCCGACGTCCCTTGCGCTAGGCCAAGAGAGAGACGAACCAAATACATAACTAAATTGAACATCTTATAAATATTCATAATATTTTCCAAATATTTCCAGTTCATCCGACAATTTATCGGATTCTGCGTATTTATTACACTAAAATTTTATATATGAAAACTATGTAGTCATGCATGCTTTGATTTAGGTGTCCAACAAAAATATTCAGATATTTCTGTAGATAGTCTAAATTCTTAGATAAATTGTAATTTTTTACAATATAATCATTAATTTATAGAATTGAAATCACATGTACTTTAGTTTGATTATAAAAAAAAATATTTTTATTATTTTATTGAATTTTTTTTATTTGATGCAAACCGGAATTATCTTATTATTTTATTAAATATATTCATTTTTTATGTTAGCTCAAGTCATAGAAATTATTAATTTATCGAGTAATAGTTTTACATAGTTTAACTATAAGTGTATGAAGAGATTGGTGGATGAAATTCTTTAGTACAAAAGTAGACACATAAATATCAATGACCATTTACAAAACCCTAGCTGGAGTTCAACACTAGGGCAACAAAATTAAGAGAAGGATAAAGAGGGAAGCTAGGGCAGATATGGGCATCTTGATTCCCAACATCTGTCACTAAAATCCATTTTATTCTCTGGTGGCATTAGCTTAGTTGGGAGGAGTAGCACACAATCTTTGACACACACACCATAATTATTCTAAATGGGATTAATTAGAATAGATGGTGGATTAATTATTGAGTCCTGATCGAGTTCTCCAAATTAAACAACTTAGCAAAATGGCCCTCACCTTTTGGCTGTGACTAATAACATTGGATGGATCAACGTGCTGTCGTTTTCCTTTCGTCTTTCTCCCCGGCCCGGCCGGCCCGTCCCCCTTTCTTTCTCTTTCATTTATTACTGTTAAGTAGGGATGGAAATAAAACCCATGGCCGCGGGTATCCGACCACCCCCGACCCAGTCAACACGGGGAATCCCCGCTTTGACTAGATATGGGGGGTATGGGTAAAACCCGCAAAAAGTTTGATGGGTATGGGGCGGGTATGGTTTTGACCTCCTTCGCCCCATACTCATACCCGCCACACCAAGAAAATTTCTTCACATATTAAAAAATATGTGGATTAAATTGTAATCTATCAATGGTGATGAGGATAACTCAAGAAAAAATAGTAGAAATGCAATTGAGTGACCATTTTAATCAAAATCTAATTCATTTCCCTCAATTCTCCTTTCACTCTTTCACTTTTCCCTTTGTCTACAAGATTATTTTAGTTAATTATTGCTTAGTAGATGTATAAGAGTTAGAAGATAATAATTTGAAAAATATTATACTATATATTATGTATTAATGGATGTTTTAGGATCATATACTTTGAACCGTATTAAGAAAATGATTGTGTTTTGTTGACTTCGTGATATAATAGGTTCGTTTAGAGTAATAATTAAAAAATTTCTTGTAAATTTAGGTATAATAATGTTGGATGTATGGGTAGGAGTATTACCCATGGGTACCCGAAACCCACGGGTATGGGGATGGGTTTGCAAAACATTCAGCCGACTCTAAATTCTAAATGTCTAATTCTTAAGAAAAAACTGTAGAATGAAATGTGTTCCAAGCAACAGCGGCGCAGCAACATTCCATCTAGGTTCCAGCAACATCGAATCATTGAGCAATCTGCAATCATCCACCCGACCACCCCTGACCCTCATTCCAATCGATGTAAACCAGCAGACTAGCAGACATCAATTGAAACTGTGTAAAGAACATACAAGAGGAATGAATCAGTTAGTAAATGTCCAATGAATAACACGTCTGCATCAACGACAACAAATAAAGAAGACCTTTACCTTGGTCCCACAGCAGATTACCAATCAGTCTTCATGGGCAAATGGTGATCTCATTAAGGTGAGTTCTGGATCTGAAAAAGCGAAACAATGCAAAGGTAAGTATTCCCAAATGAACTAATAGAAATTAGAACACATAATGGAAAAATGATCTATTGATCTTACCACCAGGTTCTGCCTCTTCCATAGTTGTATCTTCGACCGTCATTGTTGAGAAGAGTCCATCCAATGCCTCCACAACAGCCTCCGAATCTGCAGAGAACCAGTTGAATGAGTTCATACTATTGTTAAAACGTAAAACAATAAACTTGAGAGTTTTAGTTGCATGTTACCTCGTTGCATGTCCTCCATTATCCAACTCCTAGTACACATCATTGCCTCCACAGTCGAATAATGCAGCCTGCTCCGGTGAGGGTCTAACAACCTCCCACCAGAACTAAATGCACTCTCAGAAGGCACAGAAGTAATAGGGATTGCCAGAAAGTCCCTTGCAATTGATTGCAAGGTCGAATACTTCAAACCATTCAATTTCCACCACAAGAGCAGATCAAACTCTGTTGTGCGAGGAATGATATCCTCAGCAAGATACATATCCAACTCAGTTGTAATCAAGGAAGTCTTACTCTTTTTCCTTTGACTTACAAAGAGTTCAAAGTCAAGTTCAGTGGCAGAGGCAGATCCAGAACCAGAAGAAGTTCCAGTTTCAGAACCAGATTTGTTCTCAGCTTTGGTTTGATAATCACAAATCAATCCACATATCATTTGCTTGATATTCTCAGCAACCAAATCAGTTTTTGTATTCCCAAACTTTCCAGCATAGTATTCAATCACATGGAGTTTATATCTAGGATCCAAAACAACCGATACAACAAGCACAAGATGGATATCATCCCAGTACTTATCAAACTTCAGTGACATTTGACTAGCCATTCCAAAAATCACAGGATTGGGATCAACACCCCACTCATTCAGTTTAAGTCTGAGATCACAAATCTTGGGGAAAAACAGATTGGCAGTCGGATATTTGGAACCAGAGAACAACTCAGTAATCTCAGAAAAGATTTCCAACTTCCCAATCACAGTAGAAGCAAATTCCCATTGTTCACTAGAAGGAACTGATGTGTAATGATTGTCTCTCAAACTCAAACGAAAGAACACATCCTTGTAGGGAATAGCAACAGAGAGCATATGATAGGTGGAATTCCACCTAGTTGGACAATCAAGGACTAATTTTCTCTCAACAGACAGCTTAAGTTGCTTAGCAACTTCGAAGAAGGTTTGAACCCTCTTAGGTGTAAAATTTCAGTAAACTACACTCTCCCTAATCAAATTTATAGCATCCTTGATTGCATCCAAACCATCCCTTACAATCAAATTCAGAATATGAGCAGAACACCTCATATGAACCAATTTACCATCAAGCAACAAGTCATTGCTCAGAAGCTTATTTCTCATGTGGAAAATCATGGAATCATTGGTGGTACAGTTGTCCAATGTGATTGAGGACAACTTACCATCAATGTTCCAATCCAAAAGACAATCAACCAACCTATCAGCAAGCCTTTCACTAGTGTGAGGGGCTGGAACATACATAAATCTCATCATTATGTTACGCAGCTTCCAAGAGTTATCAATGAAGTGACCAGTTACTGCCATATAACCCCTTTTCTGATTT